GGGTATCAATTTGAAGAGCCAATTCTTTGTTACAGCTCTGTTGCATTTATTAAAGAAACTGCTTCTTTTGTGCCCCTCTACTCCAATTTCAAATGCTCTAAGGAAGTTTAGAAATTTGTTTTTTAGTTATACTCTGGTTTCTCTTCAGATCGTATAAATCTTTCGCCTTTTACTATGTACATTATACAGTTGATGCCAGCAGATGGCTACTTTCAGTTACAGCAATTACTTTTTTTTATTTCAGTGGTGTAGAGGCTAAACAGCCCAATTCTGCCATCAGGAAATGTGTCAGAGTTCAGCTGATCAAGAACGGCAAGAAAATAACAGCCTTTGTTCCTAATGACGGTTGCTTGAACTTCATTGAGGTGAACAATGAATCCCTAAAACTTTTTGTTGTAAATTGGCTCCATGTAATACAGCTCAAAGTTACATTATCGGCACTATCTGTGCAGGGGCCTGTGGTCATCTGAAGGAAATTATTATTACTTTCTGCTTAGTAATATTATTTTTAAATGTCAAGTATCTTAATCAAAACATTAGCATTTACAGTACATTTACATGTAAAGGGTTTGTTCAACCAATGCAATTTGCTTTTCTAAATATTCTTAAACTTTTTTTTATTTGGGTTCTCATTTGACTGAAAATTGTTTAATTGAACGTAGTAACAATCTTCCTTTCTTTCATTGTAGGAAAATGATGAAGTTCTAGTTGCTGGCTTTGGTCGGAAAGGTCACGCTGTTGGTGACATTCCTGGTGTCCGCTTCAAGGTTGTCAAAGTAGCCAATGTTTCTCTCTTAGCCTTGTACAAAGGCAAGAAAGAGAGACCACGATCATAAATTCCTGTCATGCCATCTAGGCTACTAATAAACTTCAGTTTGATAAACGGTGTGGTTTTTCAAGTCCTCCATGCAATGAAATATTGGGGCACATGTTTTGATGAACATTTTTTGCGTGTACTGTTGCTTTTTGAAACACTTAAAATATTGTTCTAGTGCCTGAAAACATGAAACTGTTTTTTAAAAAAATGGCTTTATTTACTCTAAACTAAATTAAAAATTCCCCTGTATAAATGCAGAAAAGTGGATGTTCCCAATTTAACGTGCAGTTAGATCTAGTATCTTTTCTAAAGCCATGTCTACACTACAAAATTATGTTGACCTAACTTACGTTTGTGTATAGCCACCGCAGTTATAAAATTGCTAGTGTGCGCACAGGTGGTTCCTTGTGTTAGTGGTGCGCATCCATTACCAGGACCACTTGCATCAATTGTATTGGGGCATTGTGGGACAGCTCTTGAAAGCTAGTAACAATCAACATAAGCAATGTAATATCTCCACTGACACTGTGTCAATCCAATTACATCAACCATGACTACTCTGCTTGGTGTTACTAAATCAGAGTAGAGAGGTACTTATATCGATGGGGGCCAGATTTAAGTTGAGACACTTCCACAAATCTTGTTAAATTAATACGTTCACCTGCTTTCCCTCCCCATGAACTCTCACAAAAAAGCTGAAGAATCTAGAGATGGCAAACGAATAATGGGTCAGGATATCTTTACAGGATTGCTGGTTTAAGATGAAATAATTTAATTCTTTTTGCTTGAACTTCCTTGGTGGTATCTGGGGTGTAACAGCTGCTCCAGCATCTTTCCTCTATCTAGCTTATCTAACAGCTTGGACCTTTGTAACATTGTGATCATTGTATGCGCGGGGTGAGGATGCCCATTCTCCTTCAAGGCGAAGCTACAGGACTAAAGTGAGGGGTCCTGAGGCAGGATGCGGAAGGTTTGTAGTTGCTGTAATCCTGACCGCCTCAGTCTCCAACTGTAAGAGCCCATCGGGGGTGGCTGCAGCTCTGCTGTCTGCTCCAAGCACAGGGCTTATGGGGGTCTTTCAGCTGCGTTACAGTGACAGGAAGGTGCTGGCTACAGGCAACAAGGGCCTGGCTCACTGCAACTCACCTCGCTCTGAACACGGCCTAGAATATGTATAGTTGCAGAGCAAATATGAACTCATTGACTAGTTTAAAGAAGCAAAGAGGAGAAGCTGAGTGAATAAAATATGCAGGGCAAAATTAGTTCCCTCAGCTATAACAGACAGATGGCTTGGGCTGTTTTTCTTTAACCATCCTTCATGGGTTCAGTATCACCAACTCTTGTGATGATATTGTATGTGTCATAATATTGGTATTTTTCTGATAGAGTCATCTCCTGGACTCATGAGAATCTCAGCTTCACCTAAAAAAAAGTAATTTTCTTTCCCTTGTGATTGTGGAGAAAACGTGACCCCTAAAGGCACAAACACATCAATGGTGTTATGGGGTGAGACCTTGTGGTTTATAATCCAACCTCATGATTTTGGGGGCCCTTGGCTTTTGGTTTCTGAACGCTTGGGGTTGGCAATGCTGCAATGTGAGATCAAACCACGCACGCCACCTCCCGCAGATGCCAATGAGTACAGAGCCAGGGGCAGGCACCAGGCCTGGGGAGGGAGGGTGCAAGGACACACATTTACCTGCAGAAATGGAGCAGGCCCCTTGCCCATATTGCGCCTGCCCAGCAGCGCCAGGGCGCACAGCCCAGATGGAAGCAGCCACCTGGGGGGTTGGGAGGCCGCGGCACCGGGAGCAGGGCACACAGCCAGGGGCCACCGCATGTCACACGGGAGGGAAAGAGCTGGACAGGCTTGGCGCCCCGAGGCGGCTGGGCGATGCATTCTGGGAGTTGTAGTTTCCCTGATAAAGGCTCCCATTTCCGGCTGTGCCGTTTACGTTCCCTCTTCCCTGCGCCGGAGGTGCGTTTCCGATCAGGCGCGGCCAGGCCGCCTCGCGCGGGGTCCTCGCAGCGACGTGTAGGAGCCGCGGTGCATGCTGGATCTTTCTCTTTGCGGCTCGGGCCAGCAGCAGCGCGATGGGTGAGCGGCCGGGGCCGGGAGTGAGGTCGGGCCCCCCTCCCCCAAGCACGGGGCCGGCCCAGGCACAGCGTGTCCCCAGGGGCTGGGGCCCCTAGGCAGCCCCCACCCGCCCCCGGCCGGGATCAGCAGCGCTCGCCCGGGGCAGAGGGTCCCTCCCCCGGCTGGGGTCGGCGGCGCCGTTTTCCGAACCGCTAAAGGAAAAGAATCCCCCGTAACACGCGGCGTTCCGAGCCCGGCCCGGCCCGCCTCCCGCACCCCTGGGATCGCAGCGCTGCGGGGGGGGGGATCGGGGGTGTTAGTGGGGAACAGCTACGTGCGTTCCTG